CCTAGAAAATGAGCGGCTTGCTGGCTGGGGAATTCTGGGAGTTGAAGTCCACAGGTCTTAAAGTTGCCAAGGTTGAGAAACACCGGATTAGATGATCTCCAAAGTCCCATCTCACCCACACTTTCTATGATTCTGCAAGACTTAGTTTTCACACTGTTAGTAAAAACAAACCAAAAAACAAAAGAAGGTAGGGACAAATCTGATTAACGCAAAAATAAAGGACCAATGGGAACAGGCCACTCCCTTCAAAAGAGGGAGCCAAGCTCTCTGCTACACAGGACTGGAAGGAAAATGAAGCCCAGGAAGATTTGAACCAGGCTTCTATAAATAGGGCTCGCTCTTCAATCACAGCAGTGGCTGGAATTCTTTTGGTTATGGCTTTCTAACGTTCTTCAATAAATATTCCTTATTCAAGTTCTTGGATTTTCTTGTGAGTTATCTAAGTGGCTCCAGTCTTGTGAACAGATTTGGTACCCATATGACTCAGTGCACAAGAGCTGGGCTGTCTCTGGCCAGGATTTTCCCAGCCCCTTTCAAGAGCCTGCATTTGTGGCATGCTGAAGACAGACAGGGAGGCACGTGAGGGCCACAGGGTGGTGCCTTGCACTACTGCTGGCATTTGACACTCTCAGTTCTGAAAACGGGGCCCCACAGTACTCTGAAGATAAGGATCTCTCCCAGAGCGTCTCCCAAAGGTCCCACGAATTGCTGCACATGGATCTCAGGGTCTTCCACAGCTGAATGATGGGTTCCTGCACAATGTTTGAGGAACCCGTAAGTGGCAGAAAGCAAAGGAAAGGAAGGAAGAAAAGGAAGAAAGGAACAGCAGGGAGGTGGTTTGACTCCTTGCCCTGCAAAGCCATCCCAAACCTGCAAATTCCTTCTCTGCTGGAGACCCCCTTGGACCAGTGTGGAGCCAATTTGCAACGACGAGAAATGTTGTTCTCCCTTCTCCTTCAGCCAGGCATGCCAATATCAGTTATAGCCTCTTACAGCTCAAGGGAGAGCAAATGAATCTTGGTTTCTTCTCCTTAAGCCAGCGAGGCTTTAATACAGTCATTGGAGGAGGAGGGCAGTGATATTAAAAGCTTCTGCCTTTGAATAAAATGTGTTAGTCGGAAAAGGGGTTGGCAGACTCCTTCTCAATTTTAATACAGTCGGAAACCCAAAGGCTCCTCTTCGTTTCTGCAGCCCTGCCGTGGGATGCTCCAGCCAGCAATCACGGCGAGCCAAAGGCAATTGATAACCCCCCCCAATCAATCATCAATCAATCAAAGCCCCAGAAAAATACAGGAAGAGGAAGGAGGAGGAAAAAGCTGACAAACTGCTGGGCTATAGCAACTTGGCATTTTCCACCCGCAGCTAAGCTGCGCTGAGAACATCTTGCAACTGTTCCGAGAAAGCCCAGAGGTTAAAAAGTGCACCATATATTTACTTCTAGTTTCCAGAAACGAGCAGATAAGCAAGGCTGTTCAGTGAATTAATGGCCTTTCCCTTAACCCTGAGAACTTCAGAGACCTTACCCAGAATCATAAAAAATTACCCAAGCAAAGAACTTCACTGGTCTTGCAATAAGACCTCGAGGGGGTTGGCCTGAAGCTCCCGAGAGCTTCCCACCAGAATTTAGCTGGCGCGGCTGATCACAACCTTGGAATATTTGAAGGAATGACAGGGTGCCTTAAGCAAGTGCAGAGTGCCTTAAGCAAAGTGGCCAAATGCAGTCAGAATGCCTCTGGCGTTGGTCTAAACTGGGGTCACGGACAAGTGACAAGATCTCTCACTGGATTAACTGTGCATTCACTGGAAGGTGACCTTACTGGTGCTGAAGCAGAGCCAACCCATCCCCCCCCCCCTCCCCGGATGATCTCAACCCTTTGCGCTTCCAGCTGAAAGGATCAGGTACTGACTGATGGAAAATATCAGGAAATCTCTGTGCCTGACCCTGCGATCACCCTGCCTGGTTGGTCTGAAGCAATTTCCATGCTCTCTGATTGCCTGGAACCCTGCTGTTCTTCATATGGAGAACCAGATTAAGCACGTGGTTTGAACCCAGGAGCCAGGACTTGGGAAGACGTTTTCTCCACCACTACAGAGGAACAACATTTGGGCAGGTTTTACTTTCACCTTGTTGGGGATGCTGAAGGCGCGACTTGGCTCACGTGATATCCTCAAGGGTAGCCCCCTGCACAGTCTAGCACAGTAGCCCTGCTGTAAGTTTACAAAAGCATGGATGAT